TATTGCTTTTTGCCATAGAGTTTAGAAGGAACTTACATTAAACAATGTTTTTCCAACCCTTTGATATGTGTGATATGTTCCAACAAAATTCAAGTGGCTTCTTGTTTTTGTAAGTCTTCATCATTATCCTTTTAGAATTATATTCACCCCACTGAGTGAATATTCAGTGATCTGACCAATACTTTCTTTTGATCTGACCAATACTTCTTTTATTCTCTAAACTTTTCGATGCCAAGACACATGTGAGTAATCCCTCAAGCACCATCAACTAGGCTACCTCACAATTACTCACATCTGTTTCCTTGATTTGTCCCCAAAAAAAGATGTTTCTGAAACTAATAATAAATTGTACTGAGTGGTTATTGTATGAAGAGCACTATAACAGACACTTTAAGGAGAACCAATGGGAAAGAATATTTAATTCCTCAAATAAGTCTGCAATCAAATTAGGCATCAAGGGGACCCAGGAGCTGATCAGAGCAGGATCCTAAGAGAAGAGTTTGTAAGCCAATTTCAAAGGAGGTTAAAATTGGACTGAGATAAGATTTTGCCAGTGATCTCAAGTCATAAGCATGTTGCTGACCTTTGAGAATTTATTTACATATAAATAATCCAACATATGGGCTAAGAGTGCTGATACTGTTTAATTTCTTTTTATTATCCAGGACTTAGTAATAGATGTGGCTATTCACAATTAATAAAAACCATAATGTGTAGAGAGACTACTTTCATTTGCCTGATATTATCAGTTCTTACCCAAAGCTTGAATTTTTAAAAGATCAAGTTTTATTCTATGTACCTTTCATCTAGTCCATTTGCATTAGAAAGGTGTGAGGAGTTTTAGGAAAATGCTTCAAAACACAATTTTATATGTACAGTTGACTCTTGACCAGCATGAGAGTTAGAGGCACCAACCACCCACACAGTCAAAAATGCATGTATTATTTTTGACTCCCCCTAAACTTAACTACCTATAGACTGGAAGCCTTGGCCATAACATAAACAGATGATTAACACATATTTTGTATGTCATATGCGTTATATACTGCATTCTTACCATAAACTAAGTTAGAAAAAAGAAAATATTATTAAGAAAATCATAAGGAAGAGAAAATACATTTATAGTACTATATTTTGGGGAACAAAATCTACATATAAATGAACCTGCACAGTTCAAACTACACTAGTTCAAGGGTCGCTATATACACTATATATATATATATATATATATATATATATACACACACACACTTGTTCAAGGGTCCATTATAATTTCAAAAGCAAAAAATAACTTAAAAATTTGGCAGTAACCCATTTTGCTATTGTATATTAATCTTTAACATAGGAACAAACATTTTTAGAGATAATTATATATTGCAGAATATGAAAGGGTTTATAGCTCAGTATTTCAAATACCAAAAAATATAAAATAGAATTGAAAGAGAGTCCTATTACAGTTCTTTGAAATAATCCTTTCGACATAGCAAATTTTCAGAGTGTATCATTTGAAAATAAATAATCAATAAATGAGGTCCTAAATAATGTAGTTTTATCTGAAAACCTTCTAATTCCATAGGGCCGTCAATAAAAGCCCTCAGGGAGAAAGCCATAGATAGCTCTTTCTTTTTGCTTGAATGTCAGCTATATTTGCTTTAAGCATCAGATTCTCTGGCAACACCACAGCCTTTACCTCCTTTTAGTTGAGAAAAGGCCTTATGAGTCATGTGTTTTTTTCTAGGGATATGGAGCTCTCGGAATTATTAACTACAGGGAGAGAGTAAAAGTCAAAACTCATTCAATAAATTCCAGTGTGCTCAGATTGAGAGAACAGGTGCCTGAACTCACATCTGAAGAAAAACTTAGAGGGCGCTTTCCAACCCTGCTCCATGCCTCTGACTAAGCAGTCCTAGAGATCTCGCATTACCACCACAGAATAACGCAGGCAGCCTGGGATGGACAAGAAACCCTCTTCTGTTCATCACTCATACAGAACAAACTGGCTTAAAACCTCACATTTCCTTCAGTAGTGGTAATTTATAGAGATACAGAACTGCCATCTAGTGACTAAGAAGAAAAAAGCAAGGTGCTTTACACGAAAATTGTAAGGGTTTTTTTTTTCTTTTTAAAGAGCAGTGAAACACTGAAGTTAGCAAAATTGGCACAATTTACCATACCAAAGTTATACTAAAACTTAAAAACGTACAGGTAAGCTAATGAGTCTCTCTACGTGCCTCTGAAACATTATCTTGACATCTGACCCTTACAAATGATAAGAGTTTAAATACAATAGAATAACTTTGAAAATAAACTTCTCGTCTACCAATCTAAATGATTTTGGCAATAGCCATAGGGCAATTCCTCACGTAAAAGTATAATTTTTTATCAGAGTGTAGCGAATATGAGGTATAAAATCAAAGAGACCTATATTCAAATCCTGGCTCCTAACCCTTTCTTAATTTTGTGAAAGTGAGGGAAAGGAAGTGAACTACTATAAACATCTTTTTCTGTATGAGTTAAATATGAATTATACTAGTTACTTTAAAGGACTATTGTAAGAATTGCATAAGATAATACAGTAAAAGAGTACGTGCACAGTAGATTGGTAATTAATTCTAGTTTCCTGTATCCCTTTGATGGCCAGTTACTTTAAGCACTTATGAAACATGCATATCTAAGAAAAGAACCAATCCATAAGTAAACTTATGACAAAGAAAGTAAGCGATGTCATTGTTGAGGACTTAACCTCAGCTGCTTCCAAATATTGTTTCCTCTCAATTAATTGTATTTTCTGTTCTTCTAAGAGTTCACTGGCAACAAGGAAAGAAGATGTGAAATTTAAACCAATCTAATTCACCCTTGAGTTTCCAAAGCTGTAACGTCAAGCATTTGTAAATCACCCAGTGCATCAGGTTTTCTGCTTATTATAATATATTTTACCATGGTTCACAGTTCAAGAGAAATAGAAAAATCACTGTAATTTTACCCACATGGATATCTTGAGTCTTAATATATAGAGCAATGTTGCACATGTTTATCATTTTTGATAGTATAGATTATGTTTTGTTGAGGCTTTCTTTGGCATTATCATATATAACAAAAATTCAGTAACATATGCCCTGGAAATAAGAATTTAGAAAAATCTAATATATTATCACAGATCACAACTTAGTCATGCCTCAAAAAAAAAAAAATGAGAGGATATTTTGAGGGCACTGTTTTTCTTAATTATTTCTGAATTTATTTCACTTTACCTCTTTTTAGCTTTCTTCATCTCAATACTGGTGGCTAATCATTACACAGTTAATTAAATAACCATCAGCTGAGAACACCAACCATCTCCCCATCTCCAAGTGCCCTGGCCTCATGTAGGTCTCTGCTCTGACAAAAAACTAGAAAAACTGGGCGCCTGGGTGGCTCAGTTGGTTAAGCGACTGCCTTCGGCTCAGGTCATGATCCTGGAGTCCCAGGATCGAGTCCCGCATCGGGCTCCCTGCTCAGCAGGGAGTCTGCTTCTCTCTCTGACCCTCTTGGATCTCTTGCGCGCTCTCTCTCTCTCTCTCTCTCAAATAAATAAATAAAATCTTTTTTAAAAAAAATAGAAGAACATGTTTTATGACACTACCCTTAAGAGTGTCCTTAATGTTAAAATAATGGCCAATGTATCTACATTTTTGAATTATTATTATTTTAATTGAGAAAAGAGAGCGCACGCACGCAGCGTGGGACGGCACAGAGGGGGAGAGAGAGAGTCTTAAGCAGGCTCCAAGCCCCACCTTAATTTCAGGACTCTGAGATCATGACCTCAGCTGAAATCAAGAGACAGATGCTTAACCAACTGAGCCACCCAGACGCCCCAATTATTTTTTTAATTGAAGTATAGTTGACATATTAGTTTCAGATATGTAAAACAGGTGAAGGGGATTAAGAGGTACAAACTTCCAGTAATAAAATAAATAAGTCATAGGGGTGAAAAGTATAGTGCATGTGTCAGTAGTATTGTAATAACTTTATAGCTGTATTTTTTTAAATATGAGTAAGTTTTAAAATAAAGTTTTTGACCAATGTTATACCCTCACTTCTCCTCCAGGGGGAGCACAACTTTCCATGTACAATGCAGGACTGCCGCTTTTTTAAAAGGGAAGCCATCTTTTAACTTGGGAAAGTTCTCAAAAAACCATCAAATTCTTTAATTTTACAGAGAAAAATACTATGTCCCAGATAGGTTGGTATGTTGTTACATACTAACCAGAAACCGAGCTGGGCCTAGAACCTGATGAGAGTCTTCTCTTCTACTAGACCACGCTGGAGGACAGGCTCTTCTTACTGACAGTTTCTAATACTAAGTGATTTTCGAAAGATTTGTTGGGAGAAAGTATAAATACTTTTTAAAAAAAATGGTTTTGTATCCAAAAGAACAACTGCTATCCACAATTACTATTACATATAAGTTTTTCCTTTCTTGCAGTCTTTTTTTACTAGTATTTTGACATAAGAAAAAAAACACATAAAATTTGGCTTTTTTAGTAACCATATAAAGGTTTCTGTGGAAATTAAACAGACCCTAATGTTTCATCCACCAAAGCAACTTAAGAATATGATCTGATTTTAGAAAAGCTGTGGCATTTTTTTTAAAACTCGTATCCATGTGACTGTTAGTTCAGCCAGGCACATCTCCATGTGACATCTGGAATGGCCGCCATTTCCTGCTGGAACCAGCTGCTGTCAGGCCCAAGTCTTTGGCCAGATATAGAATGATGCAGCCTTTAAAAAGCCTGTACTCAGTTCCACTTCAAGGTTGATTTTCCTTGCAAAGCCTAAATGGAAGAAAACATCCCCTTCCACATGACTGGATTCCCCTAAAGGCTTAGAGAAATAAGGGTGACCTAAGCTAGCTGGCAGATGAAAAAATAAATCAGAGTCTGTCACAATTTTAAGACAATTAAGAGAGAAAGTAAGAAAGAAAGAGAGTAGGATTCGACATCCTAATAAGCTCTTCTTACCCGCTGAACAGCATCTGAACATTTTTTTGGAGTTTCCAAAACAGCGGACTGAGATTCTGGTTTGGAAAAGAAGAAGACAGTCAGTTATCTTAAATAAGAAAATTTCCCCCATTTCCTCACCCAGAAAACAAAACTAACTAAAACATATCTTTAACCAGAAGTACCAAAAACATCCCATTTATCTTCCAATTATACTTCCGTATTAGGAGGACATGACTATTTTTCAGTATATATAACACATATAATGACTAACACGTCATTATTTTTAAAATTAGAATAGCCTCATGTCCTTCTTGACACATCAATCATTATTGTTCCCAATTGCCAGCTTCTTTTTTGGGCCAGGAAGTACCTATTGAAACATTCACTTATTATATTTTTCACTTAGCTAAAGTCTGCACAATGAAAGAAGCCAACTCACCAACCTTGAAAGATAGAATTCAATTGTCTTATCGGACTATTGACAAATTACCTTCTAATTCCACCACCCACCAAGAGGCATTAGTAATAAGGGGTTCTAAAGGGATTTCGTTCCTCCCTTTGTCACTTAAGAGTCTATGAGACTGCAAATTCCTGCTGGAAAACCTAAGGGATAACCAATTCCAGGATTATTTTTTAAGCTAAGGGACAGATTTCTTCTAAAGGAAGCTTGCATGAAAGTTTATAAACAAAAGGGCCTTCAGAAATCCCCAGTGCTCCACGGAGTAGAGTCTGAGAACAACTCCTCGTGTCTACTGTTCACATTTTACAGCTGAGAAATCAGAGGCACATAATATAAGCAATTGGTGGGAAGCAGAAGACTAGAGCTTGTCTCCTGTCACACTGCTCCCCACCCCCAACTGGCATGAAGACCAGACACTTGACAAGAAATAGCAGTCACTCTTGAGGATAATTTAATTCCTATTTTAGCAGCATTTTAGTTGATACATGTAACAATGCTATAGAAAAATAAAAGGTGCCTATCATTTAAATTTTATAACATACTGGGGCGCCTGGGTGGCTCAGTCGTGAAGCGTCTGCCTTCGGCTCAGGTCAGGATCCCAGGGGCCTGGGATGGAGCCCCGCATCGGGCTCCCTGCTCCGCGGGAAGCCTGCTTCTCCCTCTCCCACTCCCCCTGCTTGTGTTCCCTCTCTCACTATATCTCTGTCAATAAATAAATAAAATCTTAAAAAATAATAATAATAAATAAATTTTATAACATATTGTTAAACTACATGGAAAGTTTCCATTTCACTGAGACTAAAGCACAGTCTCGGCACAGGCCCAGTGACCTTCTTTCATCTGTCCACAGTCCCTGACCTGTCTGACCACCTCTGCCCTTCCCCACCTGCGCACTGGGCTGTGGCCACACTGGCCTTCTCGCTACCCTTTAACATGCTGCCATGTTCCCTCCACAGGGTCTCTGCATATGCCCCTCTGCCTTGCCCCTTCTCTAGGGCTTTGTTCCAGACTTCAGCACTCGTTTTAACAAAGCGGCAGTCCCATCCACTGCTAGCACCCCTCATTCTCTCTTACTTTCTTTGTAACATGGAACATCACGTAACACACTACCTAATCCACTTGTTTGCCTCCTAATTTTAATTCTCTTACTCCACTAGAACATAAGGCAGGGATTTTTGCACTTTTTTCCCCTTATATCCGCAGCATCTAGAATAGTGTCTGGCACACAGTAGGTGCTTAAAATATTTGCTGAGTCATTGTAGGAGTGACTGGAAGGAGTGACCAAAAGAACAATCAAACCATGAAAGGGGGTATCCTGGGAAAGGGAAAAGAGGAGTAAGGATTTTACAAGGGGCAAATACATCACTTTGCCTTTAGCTGCTTCCTGCAGCTCGGCTTAAGGTGTATCTTTCAAAACAAAAATCCTTGAGAACAGCATGAAGTAGTCACTTACCAACAGATGTCACTGTGGCAATAGAATATTAACAAGAGGCCTTAAAACACAAAGCATTTTCCCAGAGAAGTAATTCGACTTCACTGAGGTAATCGAAAAGGGATTCTTCCTTCTTATACCGACAAATCTGTACTCTGACCTTAACAGCAGAGTTAGCCAATTTTGAATAAGGATCCTAACGTCAAAACCAACCAGCAGTTAATATTAGCAAATCCAAACCCTGGAACACTTTTGGTTTTAGTTACCTCCAAATCCCCAAACACAGTAGACTCTAGATAAGGTCCTGAGGCTTTGTATTGATGGAGAACACTTTTCTTCCTCTTCTTTCTATTTAGATAGCGCAGGGAGAATCCAAAGGATCTCCCGTTGGAACACCAACAGTTCTTTGCATTAGAAATACACACAGTGTTTCCTAGCATTTCCCCGATAGCCCTAGGCCTGGTGACCTACCCTAAAAAGCAAGCCTCTGGGCTCTGATGGCAAAGAAGAATGCATACAGTTTATCAGAACAATGAACTAGAAAGACAGTCACTTTTTGGAATCGCCCTCCTCCCAAACTTGTAGTTTCCCTCTGTCGAATTATAAATGGTGCCCGAAATGAATTAATTCCCCCACCCCCCTCTTCCACTATACTTATTTCTTTGAATCCGTGTAAGAGAAACCATCCAAGAGAAATTTATGGCAAAATGCTCTCTTCAAAATCATAAACTGAAGCATAGACGTTCTAGAGTGTCAAGATGTTAAGATGAAAAAGATGCACACAATAACTGTACTGCAAAAACAAAAGGTAAAATGAAGAGAACTAAGAGAAAAGAAAAAGAAAAATTAAGGAGAAGGCAAATAAGAAAAAAAACCAAAGAAGGCATAGGAAGGGGAGAATAAAGAGAAGCACGAGACACGGCACCGAGTGGTGTGAGTAGAGAGAAAATGGCGTGTTTGCAGCGAATGGTAAGTAAGCTGGTCTCTGAGTATCTGCTCAAGGCTAGGGCCACTGGGCAAGTGAATCTGAGAAATCCACTTAGTTCTAACATTCTTAGAATGGTCACCTCAGGTACAAACTCCCATGAAACTTGTTACCAACACTCTCGTCTTCCAGCATCCAGGGGCTTTCCGGACTTGCCTTTCTAAATCCACTCAGCTCTAGAACTGACAGTTCCCATTACATATTCATCAACCAGGATGGTTGTTTTTAAAGAGTAACCCAGTGAGAGCTCTCTCAAAGGTACATTTAAAACTGCCAACTCCTTCTCTCTCCCTTTTTAAGAATTCAGAAACTAGACCGTTTTTAAAACCAAAACAAAACAAACATCTCTGTGAAGCAAAGTAGGAGAAAGAACATTCCTGACAAAACTTTAAGTGTCCTAAATAATTCATAATCTAAAATTCTGGGCTCCCCACAGTTCCAAACATGTTTCAGAGATGAACTCTTCTTTATCATCACAAAATAAGCCTATGACTTGTAAAACAAAACATACTTGGATGAGTTTTACATTTATAGGGAGAAAGAAAATAAGTAGGATATGCCTCCCTGCTATGAATGGAAAATAAATTAAATCACCCTTTTAAAGCATATAAAGTATGCCTTCTAAAAATGAATTGAGCAGTCTCCAAACAGTTTTACACTGTAAGTAAAAAGGCACTTACATAAAATTATTAAAATGCAGTTTCTCTAATGGTATATACATCAATTTGATTCAAGTCTAGTCAATTTAATTGAGAGAGAACTTATTAAACTTTATTTAAATAGTATGACTTATGGGTGATGTTTTTAATTCTGGTATACCATGTCCTTCCATAAATGAAGATAGAGTTAAACATGTAATTTTCCTAAAAGGGCCCAACCCTATGTTCTGCTTATTTGATTATCTCACAGTATGGATATGCCCCTCATTGCCAACATAGGATATGGACACACAAGCTTTAGCTTGCATATATAAGAGAGAAATGCAAGCCAAAATGACAAAAAAAGAAGAATTTATTATCATCATCATCATCATCATCATCATCTATAGGAGACATGGTCAATCTTTCAGTCTTTTCTAGCACATTTTATCCCTTGATCAAGTGGGAAGCTGAGAAATAGAACACTATCAAACTCTTCCTGGGTTCCTTATAGAATTTCTTCATTACCCCTATTGAATATTTGTTAAAGCATTCAACTACATCTGGAAATGAGTTGATGATACTGTTTGCATTGCATCACACAGAATCTTATTAGGAACCATCAGAAACACTTATTTTTTATATATAGAAGGCCAGAAAAGGGCTTCTCTGAAATACTTTTGCTTTTAACCTCATGGACACAGGGGATGATTATAGAATTGTCCCCATTTCCCTCTTTGCTTTAAACCTGAGGAAAAATTTCCAACTACCTTTGAAAATTCCAAGTGCTTCTGCAATACATTTGTGTGCTACCTTACCCCTGGCTTCATTTTATTCTTCCATCCTAAATTCCTTTCAGTTTGATTTATTTTCCTTTGTAATCCTTTTGTATACCTTAGATATTTATATGCTGCTCAAATCTTTTCTGGAGCAAAGGCGGGTTACACTGCTTTCAGCCAGCATGTAACCATGACTTTTAGGATTTCTATTTAAAAAGTCTCTGCCCTGTTTCTACCACTTCTCCTTCCACATAGTTTCCTCCAGGGTTTTCCATCCCCAAATTGCCTTCCTAAATATCACTCCTCTTGGCCATTTACATTTTCAGAGAAAGATAAGGGGCTTGATGTTTCAAAGACACAATAAGAATAATCAATTCCTTATACACATCTAGACATCCTGCCCCCATTCGCCAAAATTTGAAAACTAAAGTTAATTATCTCTTTGATTTCTGTGCATCAGTGAATAACTTTTGAAATTTGGTATTGAGCCTGGAAAAATGGTCCATGGGCTGTTTCAGCACACACACAAAACTCTCTCTCAAATGCCTGCATGAATGTGCTAAGGAGATATTTATTTAGATCTCTTTCAACAAAAGATCTTAATTTACTGGCTTAAACATTTAAACATATACTATGTGCCCAAAGGTCTTGAAATGTTGGGAGTCTCCAAGGAAGACAGATATGTATAAACAGAAAAATTATAATGCATAAGTAATATGAATGATACAGATATGAATAAAATGCCACGGGACTCCAGAAAAAAGAACCACCACAGAGGGTGGGGAGAGGCACCAAGGCTTCATTCACCTTGACCTCTGCACTTCCAATCCCTACAGAGGAGGGTTGGTTCTTTCACCATTATATGAAAGGTGGAGAAGAGCCTCTCTTACAGAAGGGATTACAAAAATATGTTAAGTCAGATGCATGAGAAATCTGAATTAGCTGGACATGTGAATTAGTAATCAACAATGAAAATGAGCCGCAAGACAAAAAAACAAAAACAAAAACAAAAACAAGTTTTCAGTTTTCTAAGATGTAACTAAAAATCCTTCTTCTTCAAAAGAAAAAAGTCATTGAACTCTTTTAACTTTAAACTAAAATTGAAAGGGGCCACATGTTGCAAATACTGGTTTTAACCATGATGTCACTACACAACAATGTAGAGCAACCAATCATTAAGTGTACTGCAAATAGTGTATTACTATTAATAATTATGTTATCAAAGTTTGCACCAAATCTATATATTTGAAAGCTGTAGATTCTGTGCAAGGTTTTTGCTATATTATTGACATTCTCACTCTTAAAACTGACTGACTGACTAGAAGGGAGAGGGTGGTATGGCTCTCAGAATGAGAATGGCCCATAGAGTCACAGCAGGATAAGTTTAGAAAATGCCATTAGATCATTTGGACAAAAGAATGCTATATGGCTGTTGAGGTTTATAACAGATCAACTGGAGAAAAACAAGTCACTACACAAAATTATTTTCTACTTACCTCCATCATCCTCTTTAAGAATGCATACTTTAAAAGGATACAAGTTACTATATTAAAAATTACTTGATCTGGCATTTGGCAGGCTACAGCAAATAACAAAGAGAAAACTAAGTTACAAAGTTCCTGGTATCCATTCCAACGATCATCTTTTACCAAACTAAAATTTAGATTATCACTAGCTTTCTGTCTAGTCCTCCTCTGGTATACAAAATCAATAATATAAAATATTTTGAAACTTTTTTAAGGTGCCTTAAAATTTTAAAGGAAAATATAAATATTTCAAAAAAGTGGGGAAAAACATACTAGGGAAGAAAAAAATGAAAACACACTAATCATGATGTAAAACACAAGACATGGACAACTGTTAAGAGGGCACTCAACGAAACTGATCAATTCTGTTATATCTACACCGGGCTATTCCCTACCAAGAAGTTAAAGTGATTTTTAACATGAATAACATAGTGTACTTAACAGGAGCAATACTTTTAGTTGTGTGTTTTCCCTTTTAAAACTAAATATGCTTTTATGTGATTGCTTTATTTTCAGGTATTATCATGTTAGAACCCCTTCATTCCTGAAGATACATCCATTAAGGAACTCTACACCTTGGCCCTTGATCAACTGTACTATGTTACAAGAAACTCAGAGCCCTACATGGTACAACGTTTCTTACTCCTCTCTCTCATGGGTTGTTCATTTCAGGGAGTATAGTCCACCTAGTGAACACTAAGCAGTGTTTCAAAAGCATCAGACATTTAAAACGGGACATGCACGGTTGGGTGTGGGCCCCCGTTCCGGGCTTCTATAGAAAGAAGAAAGGTAAATGCATCCCTTCAGAGACTGGGATAAAAACAGGATTATAAACACTACATTCACTTTGGAAAGGGGCCTAGAATAAAATCTTTAACACTGTGGGTCATTGTTGGTTTCAAAGGGAACTCATGAGGAAGTAATAAGTAAAGATATCAGATAATGGTAATAATGATAACAATAGCAAACACTTATACTAAGCCTGACATTGTATTCTGAATTCTAACTCTATGCTTTAACATGCATTATCTCATATAATTCTCAAAACAGCCCTATGCAGGAGATGCTATTCTTATCGACATTTTACATGTTAGGAAACTGAGTACAGGGATTAAGAAATTTGCCCAAGGTTACAAAGCTCCATGTTCTTATGTTGTACTCTTTTATTACAAATCCAGATTAATGACTCTCTCTCTATAAACCAATGAGAAAAAGAATCAAAATTCTTTTTTTTTTTAGATTTATTTATTTGAGAGAGAGAGAGTGGGGGCAGGATCTGAGGGAGAGGGAGAGAAAGAATCTCAAGCAGACTCCCTGCTGAGCATGGAGCCCAATGCGGGGCTCAATCTCATGACCCTGAGATCATGACCTGAGCCAAAATCAAGAGTCGGATGCTTAACCAACTGAGCCACCCGGTTGCCCCCAAAAATCAAAATTCTTAATTCTAACACTCATGCTACTATTTAGGAAAATTTGGTGAGGGGTAGATTTCTGAATAGTAATAATGCTCTTCAATGTACTCTCCACTTATGAATCAGTCCACAGAGAAGAAGTCAGGAATTTATTATACCAGATTGGAAATTTTTTTAAACGGAATTAAACAACCAAATTTCATAAAACATTATTACTCAAATACGATTCTTAATTCCTAAGACAAACACAAAAGTGTTCTCCCACTTTCAGGCTCCATAGAAAGCTGATATTAATCTCATGCTATCTTCCCAGCCAATAACACAAAATAAGACAACAAAAGATGCAAAGAGAAAAACAACCAAAAAGAAAAATTTTAAAGAAGAATAAATACATCTGAACACTGTACAGTTTTTAAAAGATTACTTAAAACTTAGATTTAATGAACCTTTTATCTCTATGTCCCCATTATCTCTGAAGGTAAAGAAAAGGATCAAGAAAAGCACAAGGAAAGCAGTAAGGGAAGAGAGCCAGAGTGGAGAAGTGAGGTCGACACCACCTTTGAAGGCAATAGACAGAAATTTCCCTCTGGAGTTCTCAGTCCACACAGGATATGTGGCTCATATCATCTCAGGTGGTGGCTACAGTCAGCCCCCTGAGGCGGTAGTTCGCAAACTTTTGTATACACAATAATAACTGGATAATTCCAGTGTCCCCTTCCCTAAAATTCTGAAGGTGGAGCATAAGAATTTACAATTTAACAAGACTCCCAGTGATTTTACTTGAGATAGCTGCAGATCGTAATCGAAGAAATCCTTAGAAGAGAAATGCAGACTCACTACCCCGTGAGCACTGTATAGGTACTTCATGTTACGCACTTTCAGAACACGCACTGTTCCTGGGGTCCCACCTGTTTCAGCATCCTTCAGCCTGTGTTCTTCATCAGGAGGTTTCGATGGGGGCCAAACAGACGGGACTCGCCTGGGAAACTGCCCTTCTGTGTAATCCAGTGAGTGAGTGGGTTGGCTGACCGCAGCCCAAGTATAAAGTTGATCTTGCTATATTTAAAAAATGAAAAAAAATAAATAAATGTAAAGCTATTTTAATTCAATTAGAAAAAAAGGTTTTTTTGATTATTACATCTTTTCTATCACATATACATATATATATATATCCACGTGTGTGTGTGTGTATAAAAAACATTAAAAAGCATTGCATACTATCTAATGTAGACTCATAACATAAACATTCTTTCTTTTTTTTTAAGATTTTATTTATTTGTTTGAGAGGGAGAGAATGAGAGATAGAAAGCACAAGAGGGAAGAGGGTCAGAGGGAGAAGCAGACTCCCCGCTGAGCAGGGAGCCCGATGCGGGACTCGATCCCGGGACTCCAGGATCATGACCTGAGCTGAAGGCAGTCACTTAACCAACTGAGCCACCCAGGCGCCCCCATAAACATTCTTTCACATAGTCATTTCATTTTCATGACCATACTTGTCTCAACTTCTTTTCTAAAGCAAAATCTAAGTCTTTCTTGGTGGTAGAGATGCCATGTGGGTCTGCAAGGAATTATAAGATCAGAAAATCCAGACGTTCAATCGGAGAACTCCCTGAACAAGCATCTTTAAGACATTTGAATATGATGTCCCTTTAACATCGGTTTAAACGCTTATAGCAAAGTCAAAGGACAGGCTGTACTTGGGCACCACAGGGCAGTACTAGCGTCCTTGCCTTCAACAACAAAAAGCCTAGGAAACCAACTTATCTTGGGTCCAGGCTGGGAACTGTTTAGGACTGAAACCATGAAAAAGTAAATGAACCTGCCAAGAATAAGAGAATTGGACAGGGATCTTCTGGCAAAGAAAGTGCTTCCCAGCTGCAGACCAACAGAATCTGGACAGAATGAGAAGAAGGTTCAAAACTACACTTAGTGCCAGGGAGCAAAGTGAAACTCTTACAAAGGAGGCCGCTTTGAGGCTTATAAACACCTTGGAAAACTGCTCATTAGGATTTCAGAATAACATGTTTAACCATGTTAGGATGCATGCACTTAATATATGCAGGCCCTAGGTCTCTTTGTGACACTTTCCTTACTTATAGGTATATTTCCCTATAGCTTTTGATCAATATAAAGAAAGCAAAGAGAATAACAGTATGGTAGAGGTTAAGAGCAAATTAAAAACAAAACAAAACCTATATATATATATATATATATCTCATAATCACCATGTTGAGACTGTAAAGTAAACAGGGTTAACCAAGGACAGGCATTGCTATTTCCATAATGTGTTTAATAAATTAATCTAAGAAATTCACAAACTATCATTCAGCATAGACAGTAAGATGCAATGTATCTGTAGATTTAAGCTTTACCTTTAGGGACGTTAGCCCTAATTGAGAATTCAGATTCCTGGGATTGGCTAGTAATCACATAAGAAAGGGCCACATTTCAGACCTGGCCAAGCAGTTCATATCTCCAAGCTATCCATATCTCTTCCAACTATTCATATCTTGATCAACACCAAAGGCTTTGCTATTTAGCATACTGAATGTCAAAAATAGCTCTTCATTGGTGAAATTAGTAGTTTGTTTAATTAAAATGGTGTTAGAAATAAACTCTCATTAGTGAAACTAAAGTAATTCAATTTATGAGGATTGGCAAAAATGTCAGAGGATATCCTCATCCCTCCAAGAACAGAGTAAGACTTGGGCGAGGGATGATGTCAAGTCTTGATGCCCTGACAGTGCACCATCTAGCCACTGCTTGAGAATGTCTCCTTGCCTGTGGCCAACCATTAGGCAGAGAATCCTGCCTCTTTCGTGTCTGCAGCACATGAACCTTCCGTGGAAAGTGTAATCAAGCACCTACCCAGTTGGCAAGCTGTACCTTCCCTGACAAAGGAACTCTTGCCTAGAGAGCTCCATCATCCTAATAACAGACCCACTCAGCCTCAAATTTGGCGCCACATAAAAAAAGGCAGCAATAGGCAAGGGGATAAGCAGTTTCACTTAGGATTTCACAATTCACCAGAATACAAAGTATGCTAAAAGCACTTTATAAACTTCATATAAAAAACAACAATAAATTTTGGTCAATCCTCTAGTTTTTCAGCCACACCCCAGGATTTAATACATCACAATGCTGCGATGGTAATCTCAAAATTGCTCCTTCGTAGTATGGAGAAATTAAGCAAAACACAAATTTCTTTCACGGCTTTTTAACACCTACAGACGCCAACTCTTCAACCTATCATTTAAATTTTCCTATATGACTTCCTCCCCCCCCAAATTCATTTCTCCATGTTCCCTAAATCAAGTTTCACTCCACTCAATGCCTCCCTAGTTCTCCCCACTCATGGAATCTAATCTCTCAGTAAAAGTCTTGCTGAAGTCCCACCTCACCTGGACCACTCCTGCATCAGAACACTGATACAGAGCCCTACCACCCCTCATTCTGAGAAGTAACGGTATGCCTTCCAGGTTGGTGGCTTAACATTTTCCTGAGTGCATCTGATCTTTCCCCAGGTTGATGAAAACTCCTTTAGCACGTAAAGCTATGTCCACAGGTCCTATAAATCTCCCCTAGCACTTGACAATGTGATGATGACTACATAAAGCTACTTAACTGTCTACTGAATTAACAGAATAGCCAGATACAAAAGAAATAAAAGAGACAGCTTGTCAATATAAGCAGTGGCCATAGCTGGTAATCTCATTTTCCTTCATGTACTCAACAAGGTACTGAAAAGGTACTTTGTAGATATCACACGGAAAACAAAGCTATTAAGTCATCGGTTCTACCTAACCCTATCGGCAATTCTACAATATAAAGAAAAATACAGTTGATAAAATTCCTAGGATATTATCAGTGCTGCACCAGAGATAAATCTCTTAACTTTATGAGGTCTTGATGTTCTCATCAGTAAATCAGGAAAAAAGCCTGCCCCAGTCTTTTTTATAGGGCTCGCATGAAGCAGGAGCAAATATTATGTGGAAAGAGCTATGAAAATGACATGCTGTGATTCAAAAATAACACACCATGAGTGCTACTTGTTTTGATTTTTTAAAATCTATGTTTGATTAGAACATTTCTTGTATTTAAAAAATCCTTTTCAGAGGAATTCAGAATCATCATCATATGTACACATCAAGATACAGAACCAACGCTAAATCTTTATTGATGGGAAGGTAGTTCAGCAAATTTTGGTCTCCAGGGTTTTCTTGGCATTTGCACTGATTGTTCCTAAATTTTGAATTTAATTGATGATTGCCCTGTGGTCGTTCCTCAACTATCCATGAATGTCTTTTTTTCTGTTGTATTTCTTTCTAACATTTCAGAAATATATTTGTTATTTTCCCAAATAGGGTTATAAGCCCCTTGTTCCAGCTACCATATCCTATATTCCCCATTTTCCCCAGAATATTGTTCTGTACACATAGCAGACACACCATGAGTATTAAGGAACTACAAGGGTCAAGAGCAATAAAAATGGTTTTTTGACAAATCAAATCATAATTTTATTATCTGCGTTAAAATAGGGTTATGTTCCCATGACACTACTCCACTCCTTTAAATTCTTGAAGTCTGTTTTGACTTTTGCTGAACTGGATCATTTCTTCCTGTTAAAGAAAACAAATAGAAGCTTTCTACCACAGGCACATCAGAAGATTTAAAATCACACGCTAAAAGTGACATAAATAGACCATAAACCTACTATCTCAAAAAAAAAACAATAGTTACTTATAGCAGATATTTAATAATGACCCCAAAATAAATCAGAGCTATAACCCATAAATAGTTTATTTTAGAGAACCCACTGGAAAATATAATGCTCAGAGGTAGGCATTCTAAGAGTACTTCATTGAGATTTTTCAAGCCAAAGTGAGGGTATGGTTACCACCTTAAAATGTCTCATGTTCACATTTTTCTGATGGTGCTTTATGGAAGAAAATTTCATTGTCCATTAATCTGTATGCTAAAGCAGAATCTAAACTACCCTCTGAGAGGAAGTATTGTTCTTCCCATTGGTGTTCCTATAACTCATCAGATGGGATGTCCATACATGTGAGAATAAATCTTAGTTAGGGGTTCCTCAGGTCCTCAGAAACTCTCAGCACTGCCCCTGCTCCAGCATCTACCAAGGCTAATAGATCCATATTGGAGTGGTGAAATATAGAACTTATCTCAGATAGTCCAGGAAGTACAATCCCCCATTGAATATCAGAAGTTTGACCAAGGGTGAATATATCTTTTCAAATTAGTGTTTGAGGTGTTTTTTTTGTTTGTTTGTTTTTTTAGTAAATACCCATGGTGGAATTTCTGGATCATATGGTAATACTACTTTTTTTTTATTTTTTGAGGAAACTCCACCCCGTTTTCAGCAGTGGTTGCACCAATTTACATTCCCACCACAGTGTACAAGGCTAACCTTTTCTCCACATCCTCACCAACACTTGTTATTTCTTGTCTTTTTAATATTAGCCATTCGGACCTGTGTGAGGTATTATTTCACTGTGGTTTTGATTTGCATTTACCGGATGATTAATGATCTTGAGAACCATTTCTTTCTGTTGGCCAACAATATGTCTCCTTGGGAAAATGTCTATTCGTGTCCTCTGTCCCTATGTTCATTGCAGCATAATTTACAATAGCGAAGATATGGAAGAAGCTGAAGTGTCCATCAATAGATGAATGGATAAAGAAGGTATGGGGTACACACACACACACACACACACACACACACACACACACACAATGGATTATTACTCGGCCATGAAAAAGAATGGGATCTTATCATTTTTGATATAGATGGCCAGAAAGGGTATTATACTAAGTGAAATAAATTAGACAGAGAAAAACAAATACTGTATTATTTCACTTCTATGTGGAATCTAAAAAGAAAAACAAATGAAAAAACAAATAAGGGGGGTGCCTGGGTGGCTCAGTCGGTTAAGCTTCAGCTCAGGTCATGATCTCAGGGTCCTGGGATCAAGCCCTGCGTCGGGCTCCCTGACCCGCAGCAAGTCTGTGTCTCTCTCTCCCTCTGTGATCTCTCT